TAAATGCTCCTCGAGCAGCACGAAATCAAGATATTCTTCTTTGGTGGAAAGTATGTATTAATGATAAATTGTATAACAAAAATGTTTTAATTAATTATTTCAATTATTTAATTTATATAGTTACATAAAATGGAATATTCATATTTAGCCATAATGGCTAGAGATTATCTTGCAATTACAGGTAATAAAATATATATTAATTGATTATTTTAATGTTTATTAAATATTAACTAAAAAATTTTTTTTAATAAGCAACAAGCATTCCAGTAGAACGAGTTTTTTCTGGCTTAAAGCTAACACAATTTGCGTCTGTATATGTTTGAAATCCTTGTGGCAATAAAATATATATAAAAAAATTTTAAAATTAGGATTAATGCGCAACTGAAATAAATAAAACTCACAAATTTAATAAATATACTTCTTTTAAATATCCGTTTAAATAAATTTATTTTTTAATTTCAGTATTAATATTACCCTTGAAAATTCGAGTCGAATCTGGGTTAAAAAATAATCAGGTCGGGTCGAGTCGGGTCTTGTAAATATTAACGGGTTTGAGTTTGACCTGACCCGACCTGACCTTACGGAGTACTAGGTCAGTTTAAGGTCAATTTAGGATAAGTTGAAGGACTTAGGTTAGATAGTTTGTTTAGAATTAGTTTAGGGTTAGTTTAGGGTCAGTTTTAGGATCAGGTTTATTATCAGTTTAGGGTCAAGGTATTTTATCACATTTTCTGAAATCACGAGATTTTGTTGATTACGGTATTCCGCAAAATCTATTTTCCCAGTCATTTTATTAAAATATAACAATAAAATTTGTTAATAATCGCGAATTTTCTTCGTGGAATGGCACATAATATAATCTTTCATTATAATTGAATTTATTAAATTATAGGTGATAAATTTTTTTTTAAAAACATTTTACTAAATTTTATTATTAAAGGATGAATAATAATTATTTTGTAATAAAATAATACTTGATACTGTTTTTGAAAGTTCACCAATTGCAGTTCATATATTAAATATCAGCATTTTCTATTTTAAGTTATTTAGGTTCGGATTTCATACTTTTAGGATTAGATGATCTTCGGTATATTATTCCTTTCGGTTTTTCAATTTTTCAAGTTAATAAGATATTCAGTATTTTAAACTTTCCAAAATCTGTGTAAATTGGCATTCGGTTTGTATTTAGTCGGGATTTCAAGTTTCGGTTATTTAGACCAAACCAGGTGAGGCAGTAATAGAACCGTTGTTCTTTTTCTAATTGATAACCCGTTATCGTCTATATAATAAACCTTGGCTCTTAATTACCTTCTCTCGACCACTAGATGATTTTTTATGTTATTTGATTTTGTAAATTCTAAATTATAGCAAAAAAATTTTTTATTTCAGGAGATTTATCAAAAAGTATGTAAAAAAACTTTTAAAGTACTAAATACTTTGGACGTATAGATTTTTTTTTTAAAAAAAATATCTTCATAGAACATAATTATTCTAAAGGAAACATTCATTATTATCATTCTAATATTACGTGAACTTTAAACATTTTATCTTACAGACCATAAATTTTCATTTTTTTATACTCGTGATATTAGTTTATCTACCTGTAACTGTAAAATTAAATAATAAATATTTATGGTTGGTTCATAAAGTGAAATTTCTTTAGAACAAAAACGTCAATATGTTCCCGTTATATGTTATGCGGAGCTAGTGCTCTGTCTTTAAGAGCCAAATTAGCCGGATTCTAGGAGTGGATACAGCTTTAAAATACATCATTACGTGACAACTCCTTGCATAGAATTAATTTAAACGATGTTTGCAATTGATGCAATGAGCAGTATTTAAAAATTCGTTTTTTCTTAATAACATTTTTTGAACAAAGTTTAAAATAATTTCCAGTTTATTTAAATATTTTCTCGTTTAAACGCAGTCTTTAGGATTAACAGTATTATATCAAGGTCAAATGATTGAGAATATACGTGGATTCGTAAATGAAGATATTTATTTGGTAAATCCAAATTTGGTAGAAAATTATACCACGTATCAGTGTATTAGACATTTTTATCCTAAAGCAGCAACGAGTTTTTAAAAGTAATTTACACGCAAATGATTTTTTTATTTACATTAAATAACGTACGCGTTACCTCCTATAAGTGAGGCAGTTAATATAATCGTGTAGGTATAGTTTATGTAATTGCGATGTAACGAAAATAGCATGTATATTATTTTATAAACAAAATAATAAAGTTTTTAATGAAATAAAATAAAGAAATGGTTTTAATATATAAAATGATAAAAGAATACTCTGCTGGCGCTCTGTAATAGGCCCAGAAAGAAAAGAACTATCTAATTTCTAAGTTGTTCAAATTCTATCGTTAACTAAGAGTGCAACGAAGCTATTTTATACAAAAATTTCCTTCCCATGGCTTTGTTATGGCATTCTCTAGAATTATGAGGAGACTTGCGGCTTGGATGACGGAAATGCCAATTATTTGATCCCTAATGTCAAAAGTGGTCATTTTGGCATATATCTTACATCTTGCCAAGGAATCCGTATTGTCCCAAAGGTCGAAAAATCAATTCCAACAGATCCGCCAAAATTGACATATGGGTGGTGTGCTATTAAAATTGAGGTACGGATCATATGATTTACTATGTTTCGTATCTCAATTACCACCCATATAATATTGATCGCGGTGATCCAATTTTGGCGCAGTCAAAATAATTCGTTGACATCCATTGCTATAAATTTACCCACTCAGCTTCAGTCATTTCACCTCAAACATTGTGAAGTGTTGACAGCTATAATATTTGAAGCATACAAGATATTCTCGTCCTTACAAATATTAAAACCTTGAGTGTTAGGAGTAAAATTGTCACAGGATTAGACTTATTAATTCAAAGGATTGGTACAAATCTAGAACATGTACTTGAAAGTGTTGAAAATTACTGTGATAAGATCAAATATTTTTATTTCAATTGCTTTAATGATAGGAATATGAAAAAAGTTCATAAAATTATCATCAATAATCGAAATCATCTTACCTTTATTTTAAAATACCAAGGCTCGCAGGCAAGCAAGTTTTACAAGAGTTGGGACAAATTTTACCAGATTCGATAGATTATCTTTTTATTGATCCAAACGACTTGAATGTTTTCTTGGAGAATGTTAAAAATATTCAAATTAAGCTAATTGTTACAAACTATTCAAAGGAAATCGTCAGTATTTTTAATATCTTAAAAGAATTTGTAACCGAACAACATAAGAAATTTTATTATCAAGTTTCAGATGTTTTTCGCCCTCAAAATGTGAATCATCAAAATTTGAAAACGAATTTAGTATTTTTGCTAAAATGAATAATGTGGTTAATTTTAAAGATATTTGATGCATTTACTTATTCATAATTTTTAAATATTTTGTATTAATTATTATTTTTTGCTTCAAGTATTTATACCATATACCAATTATTGATTAAAAGTTATGACATGTTTATTTATTTATATCGACTCTGACGTCATGATCCAACAGATAAATATTTACGAATAAATACAAAATTTTTTCTTTCTTTTCAAGAATGTTGAAAGTTCCAACTTTAGCGAAAACAATAGCGTTATCGTTTAAAATAAATTTGGTTTGAAAAATTATAATATTTATAAGAAAAAATGCTCTATTTGTACGACAAGTGATTTATTTAACTGTTCTTGATCGATTAAGGGAAATTTATTATAAACTTTCGGGTTTGAAATCCTTCCAAAAAGTAATTCTATAAATATCATGTGTAAAATGGTCGGCGCTATATATTTACTTTCTTTTTTTAAAAAAAATCGGACTACGTTCTTTCTCATTAATAGCTTCCTCAACATTATTTTCCTTATTTTCAATTCCAGAATTATACTTTGTCGCATGGACGTTATTTTAGAAACATATTGGAGTGTCAAAAACATTTCTTCGCATAATCAACAGTTATTCGCAAATTTTTGTTTACTTTTTGAGTTAATTTTTTTTCTGTTTTTTCTTCAATTTACATTGTTAATTTATTTCATTTTTTATCAAGTATTTTTATTTTTATTTTAAGACTGATGCGAACTTAACATTATTATTTTTTAGCTTCCAATTCTAGTTGACTTATTTCGGGCGTGATGTATTATTTATTATTATTTTTTATTTTATTGCTATATCAATCTAATTTTTATTTCTCCCATATTATCATCTGTATTATTGAAGAGCAGGGACTTATTTTTAAGAAGGGCCATGATAATTGCAAAAAACTTTGGTTTAGCAAATCGAAATCATAAATAATAAGAAGTCTTTGTACAAATGTTATATGGATTCTTATTGCTTATATACCAGCAAAAGCACAAAAAGATATTAAGCGTATTAAGTGAGAATAAATGAAAATGTGGGTTTTTTTAAATTTCGATTCTGCAACTTGCAATGCTTTAAATAAACAATAACATAATATTTTCCGTGCAGTGCAATACTTTTGTCCTCCCGGATATAACCTGCATTAATTTAAATTTTACGAGAAATTAAGCTTTATTGCTAACTGTTAATGGACAATACAACCCGTAGTAATGATTATCCCAGAAACGATGGGTATTACATAAACATAGTTAGGTAAGTATGGTATGTATACTTTAAAACCATACATGTATGGTTTTTCATACTATACATGTATAATTAAAAACCATACAATACATACTTTCAAAACCATATTATACAGGCTTACTATACCCAGAAACGATAAATGAAATAATATTGAAAATCATTTTTTTTTTTATCTTTTTTATCTTTATATGGGAGGGGAGGTATGCTATTAAAATTCATGTTTGGATCATATGATATACTATCCTAATTTTAATTGCATATGACCCATATTATTTTCATTATTTATTTTATATTATTATTCATATTAGTAAGATTATAATTATGGGTTACGAAGCTAGAAATCTAAAAAGCGTAAAGAATATATCTCGAAAACACCATTAGCTCCATATTAATTTTATCACCAATAAATCCAAAGAAAATTACATGAAATTGCTTAATTTTAAAATATTCATTTTAAATCAAATTTTTAAAATTTCATTTTTAGGGAAGGGGAAGGGGGCTATTTATGTAATAAAAGAAACTTCTTTTTTATTGATTCAACACATTTAATTGTCTCAAACTAAAATAAAGTTATTATAAGTATAAATAAATAATCGACATTTAATATAATTTCCTAAACTTTGTTAATTTCAAATACAAAATATCTTCTCATTTGCTTTATTTAAGTAGAACAATAAATCACCGTAGTAAATCTTAGTTTAATTCATATATGTAAGATATTTTGTATGTATACTTTAAAATAACTATATTTAAAAATAATTAAATTTTGAGCTAAAGTTATAAACGTTATAAAGCTTGGCCAGAATTAATAATTACCGCAGTATACGATCATTGGTTTGTGTTCGGAAAATATTTTCCGATGATCCAAATTTGGTCATGATAATTCCTTTTATATCCTACAGAAATTTTCTTTTTTAAAAAAAAAAAAAAAATAATGGATTTAAATAGCGATGAAAATGAAATTCAAGACCTAATAGAATCTGAATTCGACAAATTAAATGTCTCGGAAAATAAATAATGTTCTTATTGTGATAAACCATTTACAGAGAAATTATGGTGTAAAGAATGTGATCCTGGGTGTATAATTGAAGGATGGACTAGTGGAAATTCTGATATTGATAAATTCATCAAAGATACATTGAATAATGCAAATACGAAAAAATGTGAAAAATATCAATATCCAACATTTCTTGAATGGGTGCCGTTTGATAGATTCACAGATATGAAAGAAATTGGTGAAGGAGGATTCGCAAAAGTGTATTCTGCAACATGGATCGATGG